TAGGAATAGAATCCCCTAACCTAGCTGAAGCTTAGTATCACATTAACAAATCTACTTCATAAATGCATTCATAATCTCATATTTCATCATGACTGGCCATATTCATAAAGATCATGCATAGCCTACCATACACAAGTCATAATTAACATAATCACAAAAGAACACTACTAGAACCATCTCTTTGGATCCCATAAGTGCAAAGTTTAAGAGAAGTCCCATACGTCCACATACATGAAAAAAGTGCTTTAGCCTACTAGGTCAAGGGATCACATATTGACATGTCATTCATGCATTTAGAAGAGGGACTTTGGTCTATCAAATCAAGACAGAAATTAATCATATAACTCATACTATCATTCAAGCACAATGTAGGGACACTAAGTCTACGACACACGATACCCCATCAACACATATAGGCATTCATCGTAGTCTACTATAGTCACACATAATCATTCAAGGGCCACATGCTGGAACCTTATACATAAACATGCTAAATCATAATATAAGGAACTTCCTTGCCTTCAATCATAATATACCATCAGTTTTGGAAGAATCATAACAGTAGCATTGCTACATGATCACATAAGCATTAAAAGAGTACAACACTTCACATCCTCACATTATACTAGAATACACATGTATTTCATCATGACATCACCTAACATAATCATATATGTTATAACATCATCAGTATTATCACATTACTTCACATAATCAACTACACATTACATCTTCATGCAAGCCATAACATGATACTATTACAATTTGTATAATTAATGTCGACAAAGCCATTAATCACATAATCAACACATAAACACCACCACCATAATTGGACCATACCAATAAATAGAAATTCTATATAATTCTACACAATATAGAGAGATGAAGTCAACTTAACACCTTTCCACCATCATCATAAACAATCCTTAGCCATTTCAACAAATTTACTTCTTAAATGGCTCTTACCCATAGCCATTAACACAATTCCAAACCAATAATCCAAAAACATAAAATGTGAACATAATCAAACTAAGGCAGCCTATAAACAATTTAATCATAATCTATACATAAATCAATAGCCCAAAGAAATCTACATATGAATTCACTATTACCAAGCCATGATCAATTCACCCACATTATAGCCAAATATTGAGATTTGAGAAGGTTAAGAGTTGATGGAGATTTTCATTGGAAAACATCAATTATACATCAATAATGTCGTATCTTAGTGTTTGAAAATGTTTCATAACTTATTAGAAGAATCCAACGAGAATTGAAGAATAAAATCCATTGAAAATCCATCATTGAGCTCCATCTTTACCATTCAACATCCACTTCATATTTAATGGAATTGGAAATCTTAAAAATCCTCCGAAGTTCAGGAAAAATGTCTCCAAACTTGAAAATAAACAATGTTCAAAACAAGATTGATAACTCTTTTTCTCCGTACTAACCTAAAAATTTAAAAATAATTTTATATATGTAAAAATTATGATGCGAAGGATCAGTTTGTGCAACAAGTCGGGATCGTCTTTCGACTCTACAATCTTCCCTTTATCATTTGTATAGCCATTTTGCTTTTGCCTTTATCATCCTTGATGTTTTATAACTTCGGGCAATATAAGACTGCATCGCGGAATTGTTCAACAACTCATCAACTAATTCTTTCGATATCCTACTTTATTTTTTCCAACATGGATTAGCACACAGAAACACAAGGCGAGACCAAGGACATTCGCTGACTCTCCAAATGAGTAAGGCAATCCTCGGACCTTCTTTTCTTTGTTCTTTTTCTCATCTTTGTCCATCTTTGTTCCTCAATTCAAATCCATGAAAACCAAGTATTTATGTTAGTTATTGAGAAAAAATATGCATTTGAGGACCGTAAATCTATTAATATAACAACTTAAATGATTCAAAATTGTAATCATCCTCTTACGTTGACTAACCATTTTGAGATGCTCTGATGATGTTATGCTTTCTTTAATACTTGGTATATTTTGTACTGACGCATATGGCCTACGCTCTAATAAAATGTAGGGTTTCGGAGATTGAGTAAATTTGATGTCTAGGTTCGTAAGGTGCAAGAAGAGTTGAAGTATTGGTGATTCGTCATAGTTTAGAGGATGAACCCTTATTTTCCTTATTTCATTTCTTTATGATTTTACACTATTCTATGGGATGTGTCCTAAGAGTTTATTCTAAAAGTTGTAATAGATAGTTTAAGACAAAGCAGATTAAGAATTGCGCTTGCAGTTTTGTGAAAACGACTTCAATTGTACAAGTTTATATTTTTCACAGTTTTCGATTATCTTATGTTATAAATATGATAAGGCCTTGTATTATACCCTTTTGGGGTCAATTACGCCATGTTACGTCTAGGGGTTACCCCTAGTTGTAACACTTTCATTGGGTCTCCGAGTTCACTCGGTAAACTCAGGCTTCTCGACAAAACATATAAAACCTAAACTAAAAATTAGCATGAAATTAAAGGCGATCAAGGAGATTTCACCGAAGTACCGTGTTTTTCGGCAAGCTTGACCAAGCTTGTCAATAACCCAATGTGCCTACTTTCTACTTCGTCATCCAAAATCTATAGGACAACCCCCATAAACAAAATCAACACATACACTAGCTCAATTAAACTAACACCCATACTACCCATGTCCCCGGAATACTCAGACTTCTCTCTAATTATCAAAATTAGGACTTTTGAAGACTTGTGCCCTTAGGAATAACGTCTAACGATTCATCATTAAAAAAATATGCCATTCGACACAAATGTGAGTTACATAGATTTCACCCGAATCTACCCAACATTAATTACATACAACCCGACAATGATGATCAATTTTAAGTCATGAAAATCACGAAATAAACAATTTATAATTTTAAGCAAGATTTTCAGATTAAAAAAGGAACAGAAGAATAGAATTACAATTCGAAGAGGCCCAACACACATCACTAAAATAAAAACAATTGCAAATTAGTAAAATCGTTCAATATGCGTTCAGAGTTTGAAAAACCAACATTGTATAAAAAATATACGATTTGAAAACCTACGAGACAAAGAATCAAACTCTCACCACACAATAACAATTAAAAAGTTGTAAAAACACAAAAATACAGAATAATATATTGTGGGTATGAGTTTGGGTTGCTTAAAAGTGAGGGAATAAGAAATAGTATTAAAGTTTAAATATTTTCCTTTAAAATCATCCAAATCTCACCTGTTCCACGACATTAGTTTTGATCTCCGACCCAGTGGGCGACACGCTGAGTAGGCCCTTACCTTGCTAAGTTTTACAGGACCTCCAGCTGATGTGGGGATATAAACGATGGAAAAATTGTGATCGTCGCTCCATTCAGCAAAACACCATTTTTCTCCTAGGATAATTTTAAAGAATTAAACCTTGGAAGTTATTCAGTCAAATAACGGTCCAAGTCAGTCTCTCTGGCCTCTTTGGTGAGTCGTCAATTGGTCTTTTTGCTTGCCAAACTCTATATTTGTTGGTTTGCCTCCCAAAAAGTGCCTTATTTAATGTCATGTCGTGGCACAACTCAGTACCTTAGTTAGGTTTCATTCTTGGGGTTTTCCTCAATGTCACTAGACAACCCTTTTCCTTTCTTTGTGTAGAGGCAAGAGAACACCTGACCCATTTGGCTCTCCAGTAGCTTAATGAACATGTAATAAAAGGGTCTATTGGATTTAGGATCTATACATCTTCTCTTATCTCCCTCAACACAATCTTGTTCTTTAACTTTCTGATGTATGAGTAAGTGTACCTCTACTATGTACCCATCCTCATGATTTTTTTCCTTCGAATCTTGTTAGGGGGAATGTACATATCTTTTCTTAGTCGCATTACTTCCACATCAATTTTTATTTTAGAGATCTAGTTGACCCAATAATGTGGCAAAGTCTTGGTCCTTCTCTATCTCCTTGTTGATCTTAGCCACGCAATCAACGAGTTGGTCTATTCACTCATAAGGTTGTCTTATCAAACAAACCTAAGAGAGTTGATCCACTAATATTCTATTTTGAGGACTAAGACCTCTGTAAAAACATTCGAGTAGCATTTGATCTGGAATTCCATCTGTTGCAAATTGCTGCAATAATGCCTTAAATATTTACCACAACTCATGGGTAGTCTCACCATCCTATTTGTTGAAAATAAGGATGTCATCCGTAAGAACCCCATCTATCTCAGAACAAGGTGGTCCATTGGTTTACCGTTTTCAAAAAGATATTCTTATCTACTCATTTCAAAAGAAAAACACACACAAAAAAACTAAAAGTAAGTAGATTCAACTATTAATAAAAACCACATAATTCAACTTAACCAAAATACTGTAAGACTCCAAAAGTCAAGACCTAATCTAGAACCTAACATGAATGTCTAAGGGTTTAGATACTGTTTTAAGACCTAAAAATAATGTATATAGGTCATCCAAGAAGTTTTAGAGCCAAGACAACAAAGAACGTCATGTCGTCCGGAAATTAGACTAACTGAACTACTTGATGTCGCTATGTTTGGTGATGGTTTTGAAGGCTCAAATGAAGTCTAAAACTTGTAAAAATACATTATTTAGGAGGAATATATTATAGAGAGTCTAAATGTACAGTAACTAATCCCCAAGGACCATCCGAAGGGTCATGGAGGAGGACCACAACATGGGTGGGCAGGCTGCCAAAGCAGCTTGCGAAAGTGACAAATTAGTGGGCTGCTGCGCGAAAGCAGCCCACAAGGACCTCACTGTCCCAAAATTTATTTTTGAGAAATAAATTTATATTTCCTACGATGCGGAGACACTTCCCAAATTTGGAATAAATCACGTTTTTGACCCACTTTCCAGATTCAGTAAAATCGTATTTTGACATTTAGACTTTACAAAGAGACTAATTTAAGTGAGGGGTGTTTTGGGTAATTTAGGGGGTGATTATATATAGACTAAGGGTCATTTTAAGTCATTTTCACTCATCCAAACCCAATTTCTAGAACAAAACCCAAAATCTCTCACCTCTCTCTACTTTGTCTCTCCCCAATTCCTCCATAGAAGAAGGAAGAAAGCTTGAAGAAGACGGTGAATTTCTCTAGGATTGAACTTCAGTTTTGTTGATTAAGCTTCAATAAGGTATTGTTTCTTCACTCTTGGGATTCCTTTCCCCAAGAGTTCATCTCAAAGTTTATTTCAAAATACCCAATTCCAGGGGTTTTTCTAATTTTAATGGATTTTTTTCTAAACATCAAATTGATGATTAATTGTGATTTACTATTTCTAATTTAGTTGAGATTGTTAGTTAATTGATATTAATAGATTCAGTTTATGTTTGTCATGTTCCCTTCCCCAATTTCTCAAATCCTTGATATTGGTCATGAATGATGGGAATTGAAAATGATTTTATTATTAGACTTGTTTTATCTATTCTAATTCATTTATGAATTAACTAGGGTAATGTTCTTCTTGGATTAGATCTAAATCTTTATGAATTCAGGAACCCTAATTCTCCTAACTCTAAGTTATGAATTGACGTTAATTGGAATAGTGATGATGTAATTGACCTAGTTCTTGTGTTAATTATTATTGATTGATGTTGCTACACCTATTATTGGATATAATTTTTAGGTGTATGGTAAAACCATGGTGAAAGAGTTTGAAGGATATTTGGTTAGTCTTCATGATCCTAATCTTTATTTCAAGTATGATGGCATGTGATTAGTGATGTATTTCAATTGAAGTATACCTTGTGAATAGCCTGCATCGTTGTTGGTATGATGTTGAATTGAAATATTTTAACGATGTGATTGTGATATTATTCTTAAGATTAAATGATATAAGGTTGGTGATGAGTTGCCTATGTGCCTTGTTATGACATGATGATGATAATTTAATTTCACTCATGAGGGCTACCATTTAAGTTTATTCTCAAGCAATACCTATTAAGCTAAATGACTATGATTATACGAGGGATAGACCCTATGACCTAAACTAAGTGGAATTGTTCAAGAAATACATTTCAAAAAGGAACTTAGCTTAGTACCGAGTGAACTTGACAATGCGAGGTGTTGACTTCCCATAGAGGAAGATTCACCCTATATTTCTATATGAGATGTTGACTCCCCTATGAGGGACACTCACCCTATGGATTTCCATGAGACGAGCCTCCAATGCCATAGACATGCAGAGCGTTCATACATATTTTCTAGTTCTAGAACAATGTTGCCACCATAGGAAGAATAGCTGTTGGATCCACTTATAAAGCTACATTTATGTTTGGCTCTACTTTGTCCGGTAGACCACCTTCCGTCGGTGTAAGGTTTTACAACACCGGATTAAACACTTAGATCTTATGGTCTATGTCGTGTTCAGGAAAATATTCGCAAAAGAAAAATGAAGTTATGATGTGAACTCCAAATAGGGTGACTTAAGAGGTTTGCTTAGTCTAGGTAGGGATAATGGACTCTACCTAGGCATTGCACTAGTTGGCTTTGAGAGAAATCCTAGAAGAATGTTCTTATGTTATAATGATCTTATAAAGTAAATATTGTACTCATGTTGAATTTAAATGTTGATGATCCTTTATGATGTTACTTTCATCAAAGAATATGCTATTGGTCTATATTGCTAATATGATGACTACCACTAGTGATGCTATGTTATGTTGAGTTGGGTATTACTTCTGATTCTTTATTTGATTTACTTGATTGACTATGGTTATGAGGATTTCCTTGGTCATTGCAGTTGTATGCTAAATGGTGGGTTATGAGTAAGGGTCTTGCTTATATTATAATGTTACGAACTCTTGTATATGGTGACTTGACTACTTGTAGATGTTTGTATTGTGTCGTACATGGGTTTGACTTATGATAATGTGATTATTGGCTTATATGAGTTCTTAATTGTGCATAAGGCTTTTCAAAGTACTTTATCATGGTTTTTATCAAATGTCCTCTTTAGAATTATTTCACTTGTTTTATATGCTTATACCCATACTTACTACAATTGTGTACTAAACCATGTTTGATGTTGTCTACAAATGAAGGATTCAGACGTGGATATTAGAGAATGATTTGTAGACTACTTGGATTCTCATCTTCCATGTTTGGTAGGTCCTTTTTTTCCGAGGATGATGCCATTATATACATATTTGATGTTGTTTCTTCTTAAAAACACCTTGTTCATTCTTCTTTTTTTTATTTTGCTACTATAATTGTAAAGCCTAAATGTGGTTATAATGGTTGATGTAAGGGCTATGCTCAAATTGTGATACTCTTGTGTAGATTGTGTAATATGAGACAATGTTATAGACTTCTTATGAGACTATCTTATAATATTTATGTGCAATAAAAGTAGAAGACATTTAATCTTCTTATACGAAGAGTCTATTTATACTAGATAGGGATATATTACGTGTATATAGAGGTCTATGTAAACGTCAATGTAGAAATAATAGAAATGTTTTAAATTTTTTGCATTTTTAACCTATGAATATAATGATGAATTCTAAAAGGATAGTCTTAGTCCTTAAAGAAGAAGACGAAGGCGGTTATGTTTATAGGGTGTTTTCCTGATTTGACAAAATAACTTAAACAATATCACCCCAGATGTAGCGCTATGTTTATTAATGTTTCAAGGATACTTCATCCAATTCTAAGTGTGAATTATGTTTAGTCACTATATAACCCAACTAAATGAGTTGGGGCCGAATCCCATAGAGAGTGATACATGTGTAAGATTCAATAGAAAAGAATGAATATGCTCAAAACAGTCGCAGAAAATAGAAATTATAGAATAAAAACATTATCCAAATAAAGGGGTAACACAAATATAAAAAAAAGGGGTTTTTGTTTAAAACTGTCAACTACAACAACAACAAACAATACAACATACAATAATTAGATGAATTCTTGGGATGTGATTCGATCAAAGGCTGATATAGACAAATGGAAAATTACATCTGCTAGAAAATAGTTGAATATCGGTGAGTAAGCTAAGCTATAGAGATAATAAACATTCTCTCAACAATGTTACCACGAAGCAAGTTTGTTTTTCTCGAACACCAATACACTAGCGTACGCCTTAGTCTATTAAGTTTTTCGAGCTGAATATGTCGAAATAGGTTTAGGAATAACTCTCTCGAGATAAAGCTATGTCAAGCCAATGTCTAGAGACCATCAATCAATGAGCTAGGTTTCAAAACCTCTTTCTCGAGAAAGCTGAAAACATAAAGATAGAACTGAATGTTGCAACTACAATTTTTAAATTAAACAACTATTACTGATTGAACTTACTTCTAAATAGCATTTAAACTAATAATTAGAAATACACAAACTACATCAACCCATAGTAACATCATCACACCCCAAAAAATTTGGGTTTTAGCTTGAAGTCATCAAAATATATAAAGCATTACCCAATAGTGTTCCCATCAACTGGGTAAGATTTATTTTGTCCTTAAAATTTTTCAATTCAAAAAATCTCAAATAGTCACTACAATTTCACAAAAGTTAACAACTTCAATCCTTCAAAGAATAGGAAAAACTAAAGAAAACCCTATTTCAATATTAGTACAAAATAGTTGAATAATATTATTCGTTGATACTAAACCTAATGCTCAAATATATATTTATAGTTACCAAAAGTACGTGTGAAGATTTATTCGATGCAGAAAATTTGGCTCGCCAATCAGCTCGACGGTTTGCCGTTTGGTCAATGTTCAACCTTTTATTCCTTGGACTTGAACTTCCTCAAGTTCTATAACATTTGGTGATTCAACACTGCATTGCGGAACTATTGGGCGACTCACTGACTGATCCTTTCTCTCGCCAACTTTCTTTTCTCCTTGAGGATTCTAGAACTTAGGGCGGTCAAGAGGCTATTCGCTGACTCACCAAGTGAACTTGGCAATCGCCTGACTTACTTTTCTTCATTCTTTTAGCTTTCTTTGTTCCTTTTTGCAAATTAGTGTCCTTGCTTTGTTCCTCAATTCATATACAAGGAAAATAAGGGTTTTACATCCACTTATATGCACAAAATAAGCATTTGAGGACACCATATTATTGTAAATTGATTACATGTTGTTCTAAGATTAACAAGAGTATCACAACCTTTCTGAAATAACTTCCAGAAATCAGAGGTACACGGAGGACCTTTATCTAAACTGATAGACAAAAGAACTCCATGCAACCTGACTAACTCATTAATGTAAAGCTTGGTGTAGTCCACCGCTTAATTTGTAGTATTAAGAACCATAAAGCGCAGAGACTTAGTAACTCTATAAACTACACCCAAATTGAATAATGTTTTCTGCGAGTACGAGGTAAACGTCTGATGAAGTCCATGTTGGTCACTTCCCATTTCAAAGTACATGTTGTTTTTCTATGTTCTACATTGACTAGCTAACAATTGGAGATCTTAGTAACAAAATATGCTATATCCCTTTTCACGTCATTCCATAAAAATACTTCATGTAGATCGCAATACATCTTATGTCACCTATGTGAATTAAATATCTTGAATTGTGGGTTTTTGTAAGAATATGTTTTCTTAACTCAGTAACTTTCGGAACATATAATCGACCCAGATAGTGAAGCACGCCATATCCGTTTGGGAGAAAACCTCAACTCTCTTTCAATGAATTGCACCTTTTAGTTAAAGTAATAACAAATCATTGTCTTTAATTCCTAAACCTTCACTACAAATGAAAATTCAAACTCAATATTAACTATACACCACCATCTGACATGCTCATAACACGAACACCTAAGAGACGAAGCCTTTGAAAAACCTTTGCGACTTCTTTTCTTGCTTCCTCTACATGTGCTACAGTACCCATCGCTAGTCTTCTAAGAGTATCTTCTACTACATTTTCCCTATTAGGATAGTAATGCACACTCATATAATGATATTTTAGGAACTCAAGCCATCTCTTCTAGCGAAGATCCAACTCTTTCAAGGTGAACACATATTGTAGGCTCTTATGGTCTATGAAGACATCTACGTGAACACCATACAAGTAATGTCTCCAAATTTTAAGTGCAAACAGTACTACTGATAGTCTAGGTGATTATTCGGATAGTTCTTCTTAGGTTCCTTAAGATATGTAGAAGCATATGTTATAAACTTACCCTTGTTGCTATAACACACAACATAGAATGACTTTGGATGATTCACCATATATAATATAACCATTTGACCTCTCTTGTAGAGCTGTTGACTACTGACCTATAAAATGCGTGACGTTTGGGAAGCATGAACAACCCTTCGCGCACGAGATAGCAATGACAGGAGATTAGTCAAAAAAGGATTTGTAGTTAACATAGTTTTCAATTTTGTAAAGCTTATCTCAAAATCATTTGACTACTGAAACATAACTTTATTCAGCCTCAACTTTCTCATGGAAAGGATATGGATAAAAATCCTTCACAAAACCATCGGTAATAGACAACCAAACCCAAGAAACTTCTGACATCCGTAGGAATGGTAGGTTTGGGTCATTGTTTCATTGCTCCTATTTTATAAGAATCCACTCAATTCTCTAGACACAATATGAATAACTAAAGCAACTGATTTCACAAAAACTCGCACTTGTTATATTAAGAAAATAAATAGTGATCTTTGAGAGTTTGTAAAACAATCCTCAAATGATTCACATGTTCTTTCTCATCTCTAGATTAATCGAGATATCATCAATAAAGGTGATAATTAACAAGTTCTAATAGAGATTGAACACTATGTTCATTAAGTCCATGAAATTTCCAAGAGTATTTATTATATTAAATGACATAACTACAAATTCATAATGACTATACCGAGTTTTGAAGGCTATTTTTGGGATGTCACCATCTCTGACTTTGAGCGGATGGTAATAAGATATGATGTCTATTATTCAAATATGACTAGCACCCTATAGTTGGTCAAAATAGTCATAAATAATGTGGATAGAATACTTATTATTGATTGTAACCTTGTTCAACTGTCTATAATCGATGCACATTCAGAGAGAACAATCATTTTTCAGGAATAATAATGGTGCACTGCATGGGGAAATTCTAGGCCTTATGAAGCACTAAACTAGAAGGTCTTTCAACTACTCTTTCAATTCCTTAAGATCTTATATATCCATTCTATATGGAGGAATTTAAGCCATGTTGGATATCTGGGAGGAGATAAATTCCACAGTCAATTTCCCTTTTTAGAGGAACTCCAAGAAGATCTTCTAGAAACACTTTTAAATACTCATTTACTACTGCACCTGACTCAAGAGTAGGGGTTTACGAGCTTGAATCCTTCATCCAGACTAGATGATAGATATAACCCTTATAAAACATCTTTATAGCCTTCAGGTAATAAATGAATCAACCCATAGGCGCTAAGCTACCACTCTTCCATTCTTTTTTTTGTTGGTATTAAAATAGAAAAACAAACAATCCGGTGGTTATCGTTAAAACTACCTGAGGCGGGATGATAACCTAGGATGGAATAGGTATGAAGGTTATAAAGATTGTGACCGAGAGTGGAGAGACCGAAATCCAAATTGGAAGGATGGGGAGAAATATAGGTATGTGCCTCCCCATGAGCGTCAAAATCCAATGGATTCTAAAGGTGGTTGGTTTGATGTAACGACCATTCATATCATTTTTTTTGCTAATGCCTCTTTCGATCATTTAAATAATTTCTTCATCAACCCATGTAATTTATGACTTGCTAGCACGGATAGTTCGATCGCCTGGTTGTTCGTTTGGTTTTTGGGAAACTTTCCATATTGTTGAGGCCTTGAAGCTTGAAAAGTGACTTTTAGTTCGTTAGTTAGGTAAAAGACTTCAAAATGGAATTTTGAAAGTTGAAGCTTCAGATTGGCCAAATTAGGCTATTAGCATGGTAGTCAGAAGTATTGAGGCCTTCTGAGTGAGTTAGGACCATTAGGCGTTTTAACCTTTGAAATTTTCCTAAAGTTTACTTTGGTAAATATTCTCGGAAAATTTATTCGGATAAAAAAAATTCAGCGCGGATATCCTTGTAATGTTGAGTTTGGTGTAGAACAATGTCCTATTCGACTCCCGAGGTTTCCGCACTCATTCTGAGCCCCTTATTGTCTTTTCGTTAAAAATGACCCTTGCAAGTGAGACCCACTTATTATTGAGATAACCTCTGATGGAAATTCTGACTCTGCCATTATGTCCGAATGTTGAATATATTAGGTTAGCATAGTCTGTATGAACGAACGGGATTCCTAACATATTTGGGGCACCTCATTGGACACTTTAAAAAGATAGTAAAAGCAAAATTCAGGTGCAACCCTTTTAGCAACAAGAATTTGGCC